GGGGTAACCGCGGGACAACCGCGGGACAACCATCGGGACAACCGCGGGGCAACCGCGGGACGCGCGCCCGCCCAGGGGGGGGGGCGGCCCTTTGGGCTCCATGTGGCCTCTACCACTGCAGACCTCGCGCAGCTTCGCCTCGCCCGCGCGCGCGACGCGAACCGAGACCGAAACCGATTTCCCGGTTGGGGCCACTTCCGCTCACGCACCCCAACCTCCGATGACAGGGATGAGGGGAGGGAATGGGCGGTGTCGGCTGGGCTGGGGCGCTGCGAAACGAAATTTGGCATGAACGGTGGGGCAGCATCACGTGCACGTTTGGTAATGTCCCAAGGGGAACCGATGATCCTGGGGGGGAGGGGGGGGGATAGTATGCTTTTTTGGACAGGGGAAAAACGTTGTGCAATCTATGTTGTGCAATCTCTGTGGTGCAATCAATGTTGTGAAACTCACTTGTGGAACTCGCAGTTGTCAGCTCAACTTCTCGCACAATCATGCCACCCGCCCGCCCCCAACTTGTTTTGCAAAACGCATGCGGCGGTGACTGCGGTGAGTGCTTGGCGTTGGCTGGTATATCCCTGCGGCCGCGCTAGCCCGCGCGTGCTCGCGCTTGCAGCGGCCAGCTAGCTTGGCGCGATCGACGCGGCCGCAGTGGCGCTGACCTTTGGGCACTTCCCAGCGGGCATTTCAGTGCGAATCGGTGGCTCGGGTGGGCGCGCTAATGTGGCGACGTCGATAACGGCTGACGTGATAATGATAGTAGCGACGCTCGCTGCGACGATGACAAGGGCGAAGGCACGGCCAGTGGCGGCGCCGATGCTGATCACGCCGGCGACGATGACGGAGTCCTCGCGTCGGTGATGAAGGTTTTAGAAGGAGTTCGAAATGCGCGCGCGGCCAGAGCGCGAAAGTGGGCCGCATGGTATGATTTGACACGGATCGTGCCCCCCCGCCCGCGCGCAAGAGCGTTCGAATGATATCAGCATGCGGCGCGAAAGGCCCGCTTGGCCAAATGAAAATTACCCCAGTGCGACCCTACCTAGAAGTTGGAGCCCCTAGGAAAGCAGCATTAGTTGCTATGATATGGTATGCTTTGCCATGCTATGCTGCGCTATGCTATGCTATGATATGCTATGCTTTGCTGAGCTATGCTATGCCATGCTGCGCTGTGCTATGCTAAGCTAAGCTATGGTATGCTATGCTATGCTAAGCTGCGCTATGCTATGCTATGCTATGCTGCGCTATGCTTTGCTATGATATGCTATGCTATGCTTGGCTATGTTATGCTATGATTTGCTATGCTAATGCAGCGTTGCGCTATGCTAAGCTAAGTTAAGCTAGCCCTCTAGGCAGAGCCTAGGTAGGGAATTACACCCATGCTAATGCAATGCTGCACTATGCTATGCTATGCTGGGTAGGCTATGATATGCTATGCTGCGCTAGGCTCTGCTACGCTATGCTATGCTGTGCTCTGCTATGCTAAAGCTCAGCGAAGCTAAGATGAAGGTAAGCTAAGCTAAGATAAACCTGAGCTAAGATGAAGCTAGGCTAAGCTAAGATGAAAACAACTAAGCTAAGATGAGATAAGCAACGCTAAGCTAAAGGGGCGTAACTGGGGGAACCGCGGGGCGGATGCTGGGGGAACCGCCCGGGCCGGTTCCCACTGCCCGGCCCCTTAAGCCTAGGTAGGGAAAACTTATGAAACACCGATGGTCTTTTTGAGAATTCGCAAGGGCGCAAGCGCAGTTGCTTTGAACAGTGATGTTGCAAAACCATGTGTTGCTTTACATGTTTTCGGGACACTCGATTCTGAAATCCTTACGAAACCTATTTTTACGGATTTCGGCATGCGCGCGCGACGACGCGCGCGTGTGCACATCGTACTGTTTGTTGCAACGGATCCTGCGACTACGCGCGCGCAGGGCGCTTGAACGATTTCGACATGCGCGCGCGAGAGGCCAATTTGGTAGCAATGTCAGACATGTCAAACACCGGTGGTCTTCTTAAGGATCCACATGAGCGCGAACGCACACTTTTTTGAAACATTCTTGTTGCAAAAACATGTGCTTTTTTACCTGTTCTCGGGACACAGGAATCCTGACGCCACCAGAGGCGGCGACGGGCGGCGACGGCGGCAACGTAGCCGCCAGACCGACCCCCAGGCACAGTTCCTTAGAACACAAATAAGAACCCCTAAGCACAAACCCTGTTTGGAAAATATCCTCCACATGGCAACGCACGGGGTCGAAACAACACACTATCCTACTGTACCTGCGAAATGGCAGCGCAAGGGGGGCGGAAACAATGAGCATTCACGTCTAACCCGTTACATGCTGACGCGGAAGGGAATGGGAAACAGTTGAGATTCTTCCCGGCTCGCCAACGACGAAAATGACGACGCCAACACCGACTCCGACGCCGACGCCGGCGCCAATGTCGACGCCGACGCCGACGCCGACGCCAACGCCGACGCCGACGCCGACGCCGACGACGACGCCGACGACGACGACGCCGACGCCAACGCCGACGCCGACGCCGACGACGACGCCGACGCCGAAGACGACGACGCCGAGACCACCGCCGCCGACGACGACGACGAGCTATCCCTCTCCCTTTGGACCCCCCAGCCCGAAGTCCACCCCCGTACCCCCAACTCCGCCCGCCCCTCCATCTCCGGGCTTGACAATAATCCAAACCCTCAGGAATCTCACGGAAATCTCAAGGATCCGTCGGGATATGAGCGAAATCCTTCGGATGTCCTCGATCGTCGACTGTACTCGTCGCGTGGCATCGCAGAGGGCGGCCACAAATACAAGGCTTCTCTGCTCATCACATGGCAACACGGGGGGGGGGGGCGAACAACAAGCAGTACATTCCACTCGCCATGTGGCAGCGCAAGGGGCGGAACACATACCAGTCGACGCTGCTCGCTAAGTGGAAACGTAAAGAGCGGAAACAACTAGTATCTACTATTTTGCTCTGCAATAGAGTCAATACGCAACAACGACAATGACGACGACGAAGATGATGGTGACGATAGCGGCGACGACGAGGGCGACAACGACGACGACGAGAAACACGACGACGAATGCGACAACGACTACAAGGACGACCGCGACGACGACGACGACGACGAAGACGACAAGTACGACGACGCTGATGACGAAGAAGACGACAAGAAAGACGACGACGACGACGAGACCTCGCGGGGGGTAACTTGCGAAGTCACTCTCCCTTGCAAAGGTCAGCCCGGGCTTACCTCCAGCTCCGAAAACAGAGGGGAGGGCGGGGGGTAGCTTCGGACCCCCCCTCTTGACCTCTTGACCTGCGAACCCCTGCTTCGCAAAGGGAAGGGGGAGAAGTTCCTGAAGCCGCCCCCCCTCTCGAAAGGGGAGCCCAGGCTCACTCTGGAAGCCTCAAGGGGAAGCGGGAGTCCAGCTTCCCTTCCGAAACCCCTCCCCTCATTCACATAAGGGGATGGGGGTAGCTTCCGAAGCTACCGCCCTCCTTGCCAAGGGAGCCCAGGCTTACCCCAGCGTCGGCAAGGGGCGGATGAAGGGGGAGGGGCTTCCGAAGCCCCCCCTTTCAAAGAGGGGCCCCAGCTAAAGGACTGGGGCGGGTAGCTTCGGAAGACCCCCCACTTTTGGAAGGAGGGGAGGGCAACTTGCAGCTGGGCCTCCGTTTTTTCCTTTCCGTCTTCCGCAACGCGCTCTTTCTTATGTATTTCCTTTCTCCCGAGAACTCGCCTGGGCAACTTTTCTGGATGGGCTGGATAACTCATGCAACTATGATTTGCTTGCGAGGCAGAACGGAATACGCCGTGTATGAAGCGCCTTGAAGGCCCGAGCGGCCACCGAAGACACACATGAGAGCCTGGTGGAGGAGCGAGTGAAGCAGGGGAGAGGAAGGGTGAGGGAGCGCACAAGCCCAACAAGGTGAGAGAGAGAGAGAGAGGGAGAGAGAGCTTGCATTCGCCCGCTAAGACTGAGCTCGCGGGGTGGGGGTGCGCGAACTAACTGGCCCATACAAGCTGGGAATGGCCTTGGGTCCGCGGCGCTGCAGAACTCGCTTATATGACGAGTTCAGAAAAACCTTGTGCCCGAACATGTTGTCATCTCTTTGGGGCGCATCTTTCACTTTCGCCAACTTCCGCCGCTGGAGACGCCCCCGTCTTACTTCCGCTGGCTTCCGCCGAGGAGAAGATGCCAACTCCTTCGATCCTCGAAGGCGAGGACTTTTCTCGAACGCCCCATTGGATGGAAGCACTTGTCCTATCTAGACCGCTTGACCGTCGCGGCTTGTTGACAGCCACAACCCGATAATTGTTTCCCCCCTTGCGATGACTGCTGCTGCTGGGCCACAGTCCGCAAGCCGCTGCGGTCCAGAGATGGGCTGAGGCATCCCACGGTCGGGAACTCTTGGAAAGCGTGCCGCCCCGGCGGCGCCAGCGAGACGCTATGCCTTGCGAGCGGATGGCGTGCCGCTCCGCTCCGCGGGGCGGGAGGCGGGAAACGCTCTGGACGTTGACGCCCGGGGACCGGGACGCGGACAGCGTGCCGCTCCAGAGCGCGGTGGGCCAGAACCCGCGGAGCGCCACGCTGTCCCACAGACATCCGACCGTGCAGCCGTGGCGCCGCCCGCAGAACGCCACATGCGGAACGAAGGGGCTCTCCTGGGCACGGCGGGCCTCGTCCATACATCGGTTCCCCGGCCGAGGCCCCAGGAACGGCCCGAAAGCCCGGGCCCCTCCCGAGCCCAGAGTGGTCCACAGTTCATCCAGCGCCTCGACCTCAGCCACGCGCAGGGGGGGGTTTCAGGGGGAGGGGCGACTGCGTCTCAGAAGCACCCTGCTCCTCAGAAGGCGCGGGCCTCATCCACAGATGTGAGGCCTGCGCCTTCTGAGGAGCAGCCTCCTTCTAAAACGCCTTCCCCCCTCACTCTAACCCCCCCTGCGCGCTGCCAATGATTGTATTTTCCACGCCCCCGAAGACTGCTCCGGCCTTGTTCATCCTCCCGTACGTGGAGCCGCCCGTGCGCATGTACATCTTGAAGAGGATCTTGTCGGGCGTCTCCCTCTCGGCGACGATGCCCAACGCTGCCAAGTCCGCCCTTGCCTGCCCGACGCGTCCGTGCAGAGAGGGAAGCTTGTGCATCGTTGCTGCGTCCTTCTCGTCCTGCTGCTGCTACTGTCGTCGCTGATTCGGCAGCGAGCGAGGGGGGAAGTGAGAAGGAGAAGGCCCTCTCAGAAGGCGGCGGGGTTTCTCAGAAGGCCTCCAACCTTCTGAGACATCGGTGCAAGCTTTCCACATATTTCTGAAAACGAGCCTGGACCAAACTCTGTTGTTAACGCTTGAGGCGCGAACGTGCTCAAGAAACTGGGCCAGCTTTCCGGCAAATTGGTTAAGAAACGCTGTCCAGGCTTTTTGGGAGGATATTTCTTAACCGTATGCTCAACTTTATAATCGCAATGCCTGTCTTCTTCCTCGAAGCACGTATCCCTGGCTCGGGCGAGCTTGCATGTTCGGGCTCGTGCGGCAGCGGTTCGCGGCAAGCTCGAAGCGAGGTAAGCAACGTGAGGGCCCCAGGCTTGACACTCGGGCGGTGCCGGGACCACTGGGGCCAGCTCGCTCGGAGCAGGGCAGATTGAGACGACGGCAACTCAACATCGCTCCCCAGACGCCTCCCAAGGTCCAAACGCACCAGTTTTCCGAGTTGCGTCCAACCGTGGCGACGGGGGGCACCCCCGAAGGCCAGCTACTGCTGTCTCGACTCGCCTTCCTCTGACTCGCAGCTGCAGGCAAGCGCTTTCCTGCTGCTCGAGTGCCCAACGCGTGCCCTGCGCGCGCGCTGACCGAGCCCCCCAGGCGCTCAGGACTCAGGCCGAGAACTCCTCCCCGCCGAGGATGCGCAGGGCCTCCTGCAGGCTCTCGATCTCCTCGCGCCTCGCCTTCTCGCGCTCCTCGAAGCTCACCCCCAGGTCGAGGCACTGTGGCTTCAGCGTCTCGAACTCGCGGTCGGCGGCGAGCAGCTGGTCCTGAGACCCGGCCAGGTCTTTCCGGGCCGTGGCCAGGTCGGCCTCCGTCGAGGCCACGTCCGCCTTGAGCATGCCGCTCTCCTGGGGAGGCGACCGGGGGATCCGAACTGGTTGGGGCCCCGGGAAGTCGGCCAGGACGGGGGATGGAGCCACATCCGTTCAACATTTGGGCGTGGCTTCATGGGGGGGTCACAAATGGGGGGGTCGGAAACGGTCCCCTTTCGTGCCCCTTTCGGGCCCCTCCGGAGCCTCAGGGGGCCCGTTTGAGTACCGTTTGGGTACCTTTTCGGGCCACGCTCGCCACCCCCCCATTTATGACCCCCCCATTACGCAGCGCCCAAAACATCGGTCCCTGGACCCCTCCGGGGGTCCATCCGGTGCAGTTCTTCATCGAGGATCCGCTTTTCACGGCCCCGGGGCTCGAAGACGGCCCCCTGGGGCCGAAACCAGCAGAGCAGCTTCCCGAGCCCAGCGCTTCTGAACCTGCCCGCCCCTGCTGGCCAGAGCCGGTGCTGGGCCACCTCAGACCCCCGGACGACTCCCACGCTCTCCTTATCCTTGACGGCCACGCTCTTCCTGGACTCCGCCATGAAACCCTGGTGCTCGTCGGCGGCCGCCTGCTCCGAAGCAGCCGTGTCGGCCTCCAGGCGGGCGAAGTCGCTGCGAATCACCTCCAGCATGGCCAGGACGCCGCCGGCCTCGTCGCTCCTGCCAGTGTACGTCTTGCCAAAGGTCTGCATGTCCTTCCTGTGGCCCTGTTCGGTGGCAACTCCTGGGAGCCTCCCATGCCATCTTGCTTGCTCTTGCGAATCGACGCAAATCGGCGCAAATCGAGGCTAGGTCAACGCTAAGTCGACTCTGAATCGACGCTCATCGGCGCTCACTAATCGTTAACCAGACGCTAGCACACGCTGGCGCACTCTGAGGACGGAATTGCGACGACACACGAGGCTCCCATGATTTGCTACCGAAGCCCTGATAGAAACATGGAAGCGCTGCATGAACAGAAGCTCTCGAAAGTCCGCGCGGACTTCTGGGATCGGCGCTTGACCTTCGGAGCGCGCCAGGGCCGGCGAAGGAGGCGCCGCCAGGGCGGGGGGGGGGGTGTCCACCGCAAGTCCAAAAAGCCCGCGCGGACCTTCGAACGTCTGAGGCCGTGCAGATTCTTCCGGCGGCGCACCCCGGGGGGAAGTGAGAAGGGGCGGGCCTTCTCGGAAGGCTCGGACGTCCCGCAGCCTTCTGAGAAGTTTTCTATGCCTTCCCCGAAGGCACAATCAACCTCTCAAAAGGCCAGGGGGGCCTTCTGAGAAGCCCCGCCGCCTTCCGAGAAGGCCTCATCCTTCTCACTTCCCCCCCTCTCTCGCCGCCGATCTTCTCCCTCGACCTGATCCAGCGGCTCCGCGCTGGGGTTGGCCAGCGAGTTCCACTCCGGCGAGCCCATCTTCACGGGCCCGCGGGCGCGCGCCGTCTGCAGCAGCGCCGTCGCGGTGGCGGCCCTCCTGTAGAAGTCCTCCAGGATGGCCGTGGCGGCGCGGACGGCGCCCTGCGCGGCCTTGGCATCCTGGATGGTCGCCTCGTTCTTCGCCCTTTCCGCGCCGCGCAGCTCCAGCGCCTCCTTCATGGCAGCTTGCAGCTCGGAGACCTCCTGCGCCAGCTGCTCCATGCGCCGGGAGCCCTCCGCCACGGTTGCCTCGCCCTCGTCGATCCTTGCGGTGAGGCCGTCGATGTCCTCCTGGAGCCTCCTCCGAGTGTTCTTGTTGGTGCCGAGCTCCGTGTCGCACCAGCCCTTGTGCTCGGACTCCTCTCCAGCCTCCCGCAAGAGCTGCTTGATCATCTCCTCTATGAGCGCCTTTACCTTGGCGAATGGGTCGCTGCTCGAGGCGATCTTCTGCGCCAACAGTCCGAGCCTGGAAAGAGAAGCATCGGTACAATCATGCAATCTTCGGAGGTCCGTGCGGACTTCCGAAGTACGATGCTGGTGCAACCTTCTTCCGGAGCAGTGGCTGCTGCACGGGTTAACCTTCGATTTCCCGTCGAAAACACAAGGAACGCCTGAGGCAAGCTGTGAAACACTTAAGGAACGCGGAGCCCCTCCCCAACGAAAAGGGTTCCTTCTTCAGGGCCCCGACTGTACCGCACCCCCTCTCAGGGTCGGGCGGGCAGGAGAAACGGACAGCGTCGGCGGACGGTGCTGTTCTTCCTCGAGGTCCTGGAGCTGCGGATGCGCTGGCCCCGCTGCCCCAGGAAGGCCGCCAAGGTCCTGCGTACGCCCGGGGCCAGCGCGGGCTGCTGCTGACCCCCGCTCGAGCGCAGCTGCGCCAGCGAGGATGCGGCCGCGGCCGCGGCTGGCAGGTGCTGCTCGGCAGCGCCGGCCACGTCGGGCGAGCTTAAGATCTCGATCGCCTTCTCGATTGCCTCGATCTCGTCAGCACGCATAGCCTGCTTCTCCTCGAAGGACTTGCCCTTCTCCTATAGAGGCCTTCCAGGTGGGGTCCGACTGGAGGGGTTTGCAGGGTCGCGCCGCATCGCCAATGCACCGCCGAAGCATCGGCGATGCATCGGCGACGTCGGCGATGCATCGGCGCCATCGACGTGGAGAAAATCGGGCTCCACATCGAGCCGCATCGTCGATGCATCGGCGGCGCGGAGCAACCCTTCGACCCCATCTGCTCTGACCCCATTTGGGAGGACTAGATCTCCTCGCACTCCACGCGCAGGTCCTTCAGGTACACCGTGGCCTCGTCGTGGTCGGTGACGGTTGCCGCCAGTCGCTTCTTCGTTTCCGCGGAGATCGCCTGCTTCTCCGCGCGGAGCTGGGTCTTGTCGGAGATGTCGGCCGTGGCTCCTTCGATCTGGTCGTGGAGGTCCTGGGACATCATCTGGGCGGCGTGCTCGGAATTCATGTTCTCCTTCTCCGCCTCGCCCTTCTGCTGCACGAAGTCGTCGCGCAACTTTTTCAACACGTCGATGATGCTCCCAGACTGGAACTCGTAAGCCGAAGCTTCTGGGGCCTGCCAAGGGGTGCCAGGAGCGTTTCTGTCCCAGGGTGCCCCCCAGCTGCTTGTGCCTCTTCGAAGCCCCTGGGGGCCCTCAGGGCGCCGCCGCCGCCGCATTCGCCGCCGTCACTGTCGCCGGGCGACGGTGGCGGAGGAGCAAGATCGCAGAGGCGGAGGCGTCCGAGGGAGGAGGAGGAGGGTGACGACAACGACGACGGCGACGGCGGCGACGACGACGACGACGACGACGGCGACGGCGGCGACGGCAACGACAACGACAACGACAACGACGACGACGCCGACGCCGACGACGACGACGCCGACGACCACGACGAGGACGAGGCCGAGGCCGAGGACGAGGACGACGAGCGCGGCACGCGTCATCTCGGTCGCCTGGCGTCGCGCTGCGAGCGGCGTGGGGCGCCCTTCGCGCCCTCGCGCCGCCTCGTGGTGGGGTGCCCTGGGGGCCGTCTGTACCTACCCAGAGAAGCTGGGGCCACCAGTACGGGGCCAGGGTCCTCCTCCCTCTCCACAGCGGCCTTTTCCTCCTCCATGCTCCCTCCCTCCATCCTCCTCCACCTCCTCTTCCTCCTCCTCCTCCTTCTCCTCCTCCTCTTCTCTCCTCCTCCTCACTCCCTCCCTCCTTCCCTCCTTGCCTCCATCCATCCATCCATCCATCCATCCACCTCCTCCACATGTCGCTGTTGCTGTCGGCTTCGGAATTGGATTCCTCTTCCTGCTCCTCCTCCTCCTCCTCCTCTTCCCCCTCCTCTCTCCTCCCTTCCTCCTCCCTCCTGCCTCCATCCCTTCCTACTAAATGGCTCCTCCCTGTCGCATCGCGAGACGTGTCGGTAGGGCGGAACGGGCTCAGAGCTAGAAACCGCTTCATGAGCGGATGGCGGGCTGTTTTCAAATTGTGCCTCTCGCCGTGGCGCAAGATCGTCTTACATGCCAGCAAGAATTTCACGCAGAGAGGGCGGGTAGTTTTGAAACAATTGGCTCTTATCTGGACGCCGCGCACATATGAACAGTTTACCAGAGTCCCACAGATGGAGGGTGAACGTTTTCAACATGTGGTTATCGCCTTAGCGCCGCGCTCATTCTTCTGAAACTTTAACAGCAACTTCAAGGATGGAGGGCGGCAGTTTTCAAAACGTGGCTCTCGCCTTGGCGCACGCAGATTGGTCTTAGAAGTCTACAGCACTCTCAAGGATTCGTATGGTTGAAATCCATGGAATGGTGTTCTGGCACGGTTTTGGGTTGTCAATGCGCAACAATTCGCCGGCCCAACGGGCCAATGGCGTGCTAAGATCCCCGGTAACTTGTTAACAATATTTCTAGTTCGCGCACGCGGGGCGGCCCCTGGGGGTCCCCCGGCGAAAAGTATCCCGACCGCAGCCCGACCAGGTCTACTCAGAGATGGTTTTGAGGGCCTTTTTTTCGACACCCCTCACGAGGATCGTGGCCTCCGAGGGGGGTGCACTCGACTACCCCGTCCCAAGAGGCCCCCAAGAGCCCCCCAAGAGGCCCAAGGGGGGCCAATACCCCTCCAAGGAGCCCCAAGAGACCCCCAAGAGGCCCCCAAGAGGCCCCCAAGAGGCCCCAAAGAGGCCCCCAAGAGGCTTCAAAGAGGCCCCATAGAGCGCTCGAGGGCCGGCGGAATGAGCGAAGCGACTAAATAACTTTCATTCGCAGTGTTGAATTCCCGGAGGCGGCGGTCTGGCACGACTCAGGATCGTCAGGAATCAACGGTCACGTTGATTCGCGGCGTTCAAGTACGATTGAGGATTATCAGATGGTTGTCGCCAGAAGGGCACTTCCCGCAACGAAAATAGATTCTAGCAGGGACCTACGAAGAAGGAGCTAGGAGGGAGGGTTTATTGCAACGTCGTTGATGCGTCTGGGGTTTGCATTGGTCCTCCTCCTCCTCTCCCCCTCCTCCTGCCGCCCTTGGAAACGCCCAAGCCTGTCGGTTCAGGAAATCGTCGGGCCCCTGGGCTTCCACGAGGGCGGCGATGGTCCTGCGCACGCGATCCGGCATGGCCGGGCTCTGCGAGAGCTGCAGCAGCGCCTCCGTGGCCGCCGCGGGCCGCGCGTAGTTCTGCCTCTGCAGGGTGGCGGCCGCACGCTCCAGCGCGTCGACGCACTCGGTGAGGTCCTGGATCTGCTCCCTGTAGTCTGCCTGCTCCTGCTCGCAGCGCGCGCACGAGCGCTGGCGCGAGGGGGGCGGCCTTCCAAGAGGGCGTTTTTTTTTTTTTTTTTTTTTTTTTTTTTTTTTTTTTTTTTTTTTTTTTTTTTTTTTTTTTTTTTTTTTTTTTTTTTTTTTTTTTTTTTTTACGGAGGCGGGGAGCGCCGTAGGAGGGCCTGGAGGCTTCCCAGGAGCCTTCTCAGAGGGTACCCGAGCCACGACAGGAGACAGGCCCGCCGACGCGGCGGCTGCCGCGGCGGCTGACGCGGCGGCGTGCGCGGCCCGCCAACGCGGCACGGTACGAGGGGAACGAGGGCGCCTACGCGCGACCTGACGCGGGAAGCTTGTCCGCGAAGGTCTGCGTAGTCGATTTCTCTTTCCTGCGCCGCTCACGTGCCTCCTTCACTGATCTGCCAAGATACGCGACACACAGCCCGAAGCGTGTTGACACGGAGCTCACAACACGTAGGCCTGGCGCGACGCGCTCGCCCAAACGCGGGCCCGCACGGACCGAGCCAACAGGCAGCGTGTCAACACTGACGTTTTGAGCACGGTGCGTGTTGCTAGAGAGCACGGGCGTGTCAGATCAGCTACGCTTCTGTCCTTCGAAGGCCGCCTCCCTTGCACTTCCCCCCATGTGGCGCACCGCCAATCCTTCTCGCGGCGCGCCGCGACCTTCTCGAGCTCGGCCTTGCTGGCAGCTATGCCGTTCTCCAAGTCGCCGATCGCCGTCCCGAGCGTCTGGACGTCGGAGTCCAGCTTGGCGCTCTCGGCCGACAGGCTCTCGATCAGCGCGGCGGCGGCGGCGATCTCCTCCCCCTTGGACACGATGGTGCCCTTGCAGAACTGGTCAAACTTGGCGTACCCGACGGCCTCGGCGTTCTTCTCTTTCTTGGCCCTGGCGGCCATGTTCGTCAACATCTGGATCACCTTCTGCACGGGCGTCACCGAGTTGTAGTCGGTGGCTCCGTTGGCCCAAGCCGACGTCGCCGCCGCGACCAAGATGGCCGCGGCCGCACGGGGGATGGATCGCCGCGGCATTACGGTTGGTACCTACGTTACTGGGAATGGGAGCGGCGCGGGCCAGCGTGGGCGCGGGCCACTGCGCTGGCGGGGTGGCCGGGGCCTCCTGGAGCCAGGAGGGCCTCGGTAGGCTTGCCCACAAGAGAAACTACAAGTGCCAAAAGCAACACCTGGCGCTTGCTGTTTCCTCCCAGCTGGAGCCTGCTCTCAACTTCCGATTTCGGAACCCCTTAAGCCAACATAAAATACGTCTCACTTTTACTTCCGCCGCCTTCCGCTCACCTTCCGCTGGCCTTCCGCCAGCTTCCGCCGAAGGCGAGGATGTGCCGAAAGCGAAGTCTCTTCTGGAGCACCCACAATCGGCCCTCTGCCCTCTCCCGGGCACCCGTCCAGACAAATCCTAGGGAAACCCGAAGACACCGATACCGCTACTCCCTTGATTCCGGGGGCGTTCTGGCCAGAGTCTCGAGGCGAATCCAGCGGTGGCAACGAAGGCCTCCCAGGAAGCCCTTCGATTTGAAAACGAGGCAAGGGTAGCGGCATCGGTTCCTTTACCTCCTCTGGGTGCCGAGGGCGCGGCAAAATGATTCACGAGCAGTCCTCGAGTATTTCGAGCCGCCCGCGTCTAGCACCGTCGCGACGAGGGCTGACGGGCGTCCCAGCTCGCCCCGCCGTGCCATCTCCTGCGCCACCCCTGGGAAGACCCCTGGAGGCACTGGAGGAGGTGTGCAGAGAGGCCGCTGGAAGCATTTTCTTGGGGGGTGGGTGGGTCTGCGCCCCAGCCATTTAGGGTGTAGTGGAAAGCGGACGGGGCTTGACCCCGAAAAATACAGGCAATGGCCGGGCCACCTCCGTCCCAGATCATAAGTAAGCCCAAATGGCAAGAGCAAGGCCGCTGGAAGCCTTTGGAGGCCGCCCATGACCTCCGACGTATTGAACAATCAATGCGAAAGACATCTGGGGGGTCTCACCAAGCGGCTGAGCTGCCACAAACAATTGAAGACGAAACGCCGACCCCAGGGAAACGGTTGGAATTTCCGGGGGCCCCGTGTCGGAAAAACTCAGGACATCTGAGGTCTGGGTCTAGAGGCACTGGGGAAGCTCCCAGAACGCTCCTGGACGCCCTTGAAGATCCTGGGGGGCTCCTGAAAGTCCACGATTACGTCGGTGGTGCCGGAGTGCTGTCCCACACAATCATTCTGATGCCCCCCCCCCCCCGCTGGATACCCTGGGACCAGTCTGAATTACAGCTCTCATGTGCGTCCATGAGTGGGCGGGGCCGAGCGTCCTCCGCCCAGAGAGGCCCCCCCTGTACTCTCGCACTCCGCCAGCGTCCAGACCAATGGACATCCCATATGTGTAAAAAACACAAGCGGAGGACGCGAAGAGGAGCAAGGGGAGGATGAGAACAACGAGGGAGCGTCATACCCGTAATCATGGTTGTCACTGTCGCAACCATCTCCATAATGACGGCTCAATATCACCACCGTGCTCATGACCAGTGTCATCGGAGTCATCAATCGCACCTTCGGCACGTTTGGGCGTGTTAGCATGTCTGTAGGTTGCCTTGGGCAATACATGTTTTTTGGGACCGACCATATGTTCATCGCGCATGCGCTCCGAACTCCGCCCCACTCTAATTTGGTTTCTAGTTTGTCATGTTTTCTGTTATATCCTCCATTTTTCTAGATGGCTCCTAGACGGCGCAAGACGACGGTGAAGACCAGCCCGAGACGGCCCAGCGATTCCCCAGTGGCTCCAAGATGTCCCAGAGGCTCAGAGAGGCCCTGAACCCCGCCCCATGAGACGGCTCAAGGGGCCTCCAGAGAGGCATGAAGAGGCCACCAACAACGAACGACCAGAGAGTAATACACGTTTTTCCCACACCTTTGGGCTGAACGCTGACTCGGAACAAGTTCAGAGGGCTCCATTCAAGAAGACCCCGAACCCGCCCAAGCCGGCTCCAAGAGGGCCGCAAGATGGCCCCAACGGCCGTTTTGGGAGCTGGACCATTCTCCAAGGATGCCTCGGTCGCCCGGGGCTTCCAAAGTCTCAAAGGCCGTGCAGTGACGGACCGTCTGGTGTGTGTGTCCGAGATGTCGAAGTTACATATTGGATGGTCTCTCACCAGACAGCCTAAAGATCCGATGTCTATGTTGTCCCCGGAGGTCCCGACACTCTCTGCAGGGAAGGTTCTGATTCCAGAGTCGTCTTTGCTGATGGCCCCTGGGGCCCCGCGAGTGCCCCCAGAGGCCGAACATGGCGAAAAGCTTCCGCATTGCTTGTTCCAACACGTCGAAGGTCTGGGGTGCCAGCACCCCACCTCTGAAGGGCAACGATAGGGGGGGAGTGTCACGGGGAGGAAACATCGACCTGCAACCGGCGCTGAATCGCAGAAAGATCGGCGACAGGCCCCGGATTGCAAATCCAAACTTTCCTGGGCAGGTTGGGGCTATCGGGCCCCTATCGGCCATCAACGGGCGATGGGGGGGGTCGATGCGTTCCCCTCTGTTCCTATCCCCCCTATCGTTGCCCCTCCTCCGCCTCCCCCGAAGCCTGGCTGCCGGCGTCGTCCTCCATGGCCTTCTTGCGGAGGAAGGCGGCGGTTTGGAATGCCGGGTCGGGCTTCGCCTCGGCGCCCCTCCCCCGCGCCCCGGACACCTGGCGGCTCCGTCTTGTTGCGAGGCACGCCCCCCCCCCCCGCTCTCGCGGCCGCTCCCCCAGGGCCGGCCTTTCGTCTCGATCCGTGCTTGGATGGCCACTGGCGGCTGGGCCCTCCCCGCTCCCTCCTCCGCGGCCGCCCTCTTCTCCCACGCCTGCCCCCGCGCCTCGTGCCCAGCGCACCCCGCCGACGCGATCACCCGCGCCAGCGACCGCTGGCGCTGCTGGGTGAAAGAGTCTTGACGGCACCTTGGGGCCCGACGGCCTCCAGAGGTTCACAGCGACGACGAACTTGCCGCCTCGACTTTTGACAGCCACCCGCTGTCTGGCTTCGGGGGTCGAAGATCGCCCCCTGGGCCTGGCGTGCGCTCTGATGATAATTTCGACGTGGATCCAGCTCTTGCCACGGGGGCGCCCCAGGAGGCCCAGAAGCGGCCACAACTGCCAACCTTTTGGCCTCCGCGGTCTTGCCTCCCCTTTGCGCCTGCTCGAAGTCGATCCCTGGATCTCTCTCAGGGTGAACTTCGGCCGGAACGTCGAAGGGAACCCAGCCGTGGCGACGAGGAGCCTGCCGGAGGCACCAAGAACCGCGTAGACGGTGAACAAAATGACACTCTGGCGGCAGACGGCCCCAAACAGCTTTACGCGGTTACGCGAGGGAGGCCGCGATGGGGCGGGCAACGATGGGAGGCAACGATGAGAGGCAACGATGGGAGGGAACGACGGGAGGCAACGATGGGATGGGAGGGAACGACGGGAGGCAACGATGGACGGCGACGAGGGGAAGCCACAGGAGGCCACGCCACGAAAGGCCACGGGAGGCCATGCCACGGGAGGCCACGGGAGGCTACGCCACGGGAGGCCACGGCGCCCGAGTGATTCCCGATTCGCCCGACCGCATACTCGCTTCTGGAAAAGAGACGTATGGGACCCTGACAGTCAAGCTGCTCAGGGAACCTTGATTCTCGAATCTTCTGGATCCCCGAACTGAGGCGCAAGGAGAAGGGGGGACTGGCTCAGGGGGGGAGCATCACCCTGGAATGAGCGATACATCGCCGATACATAGGCGGTAGGCCCCCGATAGCGATTCCGCACTCTCCTGTGCGGGGTGGGCCATCGGGCCCCCATCGGCGATTAATGGGCGATTTAGGGGCCGATATGTTCCCCCCTGAGCCTATCCCCCCGTATCACTGCCCTTTGGTTTTCGGGCCATACCTCGGCTCGCCTGCGCCCGTTCGAGACTGTCCGGGCACCCCCAGAACGCTCTCGGCGAGGCGCAGCCGCTGGAAGGCATCCCGAGGCTGGAGCGCCACCGAGAACAAACGAGAGCGTCTGAGAACCTCAGACCTCGAAACTTCGCTCTCCCCCCTGAGCCCATCCCCCCCTTGGTCCTGGGACCCACCGTGGCCCGTGGCCCCGGGCGTCCTGCTCCCTCCTCGTCCTGCTCCCTCCTCGCCACGCTCCCCCTCCTCCCGCCCCCTCCTCCTGCTCCCTCCTCCTCGACCCGCCCCCTCCTCCTGCTCCTCCCGCTCCCTCCCGCCCGCCCCTGGCCCAGCGCCGCGGCGCCTCGCGCTCTCCCGAGGTCCGCGGCCGTGCGATCGGATCGGGCACCGTGGGCGCGGCGGGTCGCAGGCCCGTGGGCTTCGCCCGCGGTCGGCGTCGCTCGGCCAGATTCGCCCCCAATCGGTCCCCTCTAGACGAGCACGTTCTACTACACTCACAAAGTAGCAATGCTCGCAGACGGTCTGGATCCGCCGCGGGGTTTACGATCCATGTTACGTCGAGGCAAACGTGTATTTGTGTGTGTGCTCTCGGACGCTTGCGAGTAGGCACTTCGTGAGCAGTGGAACGCGCTCAGTGACCCTCAGATCTGAAGTTGCAAAAACATGCAGCATCGCAAAAAGGCACCACTGGACCCCCGGGCACCATCTTTCTGCATCCTTGGTCGAGCCTGACTGTTCCGTGAGGGTCCCAGGGCGCGACACCAGGCGAGAACGGCCCTCGTGACAAGACTGCAACGCCAAGCTCTGAGGGTCGCCTGGCCGGATTCGCCCGCGATCGGTCTCGCTGCGTCGGTCTCACTGAGGTCGGCCTCGCCCGCGGCTGGCCGAACGGTCGTCCTTCGCCGTCGCGGTGCGGCGCGGGCCCAGCCGAGGGCCCGACGCCGCCCGGCAGCAGCCGGGTGGCTCCCGCCGCCCACGGCGCCTGGCTCGCGAGGGCGGACTTGGGCCTCTCGGGGGCGCAGAGGGAGGAGGAGGAGGAGGAGGAGGAGGAGGAGGAGGAGGAGGAGGAGGAGGAGGAGGAGGAGGAGGAGGAGGAGGAGGAGGAGGGGAGGGGGAGGAGGAGGAGGAGGAGGAGGAGGAGAAGGAGGAGGAGGAGGGGGAGGAGGAGAAGCTGGAGGAGGAGGAGGAGGAGTAGGAGGAGAAGCTGGAGGAGGAGGAGGATGTGTCCGCCGACCGCTGACGGCGGCGGCGACAACGGCAACGACCACAGAGGCAGCGGGCGGACTCCGAGATGCCGGCGGAGCGGTTGTTTCACAGTGGGCGCTTCGCCCGGCGTCGACCCCCTGGGGCCCTCACAGATCGATCCAGCTCGAACAGTGGCGCAGAAAGATGGGGTCTGGTGCTTTGGTCCCATACACGTGATGTCCAAATTTTTCAATACGGGGTCCCCGGAAATCCCGACCCCTTCCCCAGGGTCGGTTTTCCATCCCGGGTTGTTTTTTACGGTCCTGGGGCCGGGTAGGGGGGCGAGGTCCCTGAGAAGGCGAAAACCGACAAACACCGCCCGTTCTCATTTCTTCACGACGCGAGCGTGTCTGGGGTTGCGACTTTCTACGATGTTGTATTTTCTTCGCGTCGGAATATCAGGCAAGCGCCCGGGTCTGCGGCCCGCGGCGGCCGCGCCACCGCAGCGGCGGGCGGCCGCGCAGAGTGGCGGCTGCAGCAAGTGGGACAACGGCCGTCGCCGTCGCCGCCGCCACCGCGGGGTCAGAGCCCCGACCGTCCGCAGATTTACGACGATGTGTTCGGGGACCCAGAGATCCGACGCACTGACAAGAATTGAAGCGGCGGGTCTGTGGCCGTTTTCGGCCTCCGGGGGCCTTCGCAGGGCCTTGGGACCGTAACGAAAACCATCCAGAACGCAAACCGACTCAATGGGTCGGCGCCGAGCCCGTGGGGAAATGAGAGTGGGCGGGCCCTCTCAGAAGGCTCGGAAGTCCCTGGGCCTTCTAAGAATTTTTCTCGGCCTTCCCCGAAGACACAGAAAACTTCCGAGGAGGCCGGAGGGCTTGTGAGAAGCCCCGCCGCCTTCTGAGAAGACCTTCTCCCTCTCACTTCCCCACCTCGCTCGCCGCCGGGGCCCACGCATCGAAAAAGTTGAGGCGGCCAAAAGTCTGGGAACACGTTTCACAAGCGCTTGCCTCGGGAACGTCCCACGACACTTCGGAACCAGGGGGACCCCCCCCAGACCATGCCCCCCCCTCCTGAGCCCCCCCACTCCCGCTTGATTCATTCAGGGGTGGGGGGGGTGAGGTTCGAGCTACAACCCCCTTGATACAAATGGGGGTTGCGAGCCCCCTCCCGTCGTCGTTGTCGTTCCTCGTCGTCGTCGTCGTCGTCGTCGTCGTCGTCATCATCGCCGTCGCCGTCGTCGTCGTCCCTCGTCGGCGTTGTCGTCGTCGTCGTCGTCGCCGTCGCCGTCGTCGCCGTCGCCGTCGTCGTCGTCGTCCCTCGTCAACGTCGCCGTCGTTGCCTGCCGGCGTCGGCGACCGCTGTCGTCGTCTGCGAGCGGCGATTGGAATTGGGGGAGGGGGGGGGGGGGCTCGAACCCCCACCCCCTCGCGCGCGCGCGAGGCGGGCGGCCTCCGAAAAGAGGCGGGCGGCGGCTTCCACGCGGGCGGGTGGCTCTTCAGAGGCCCTCCTGGCCTCCGCGGAGCCTCCTCCCTCAGGAGTCGTCCCAGGCTTCTGAGACCCCCCCGCCTTCGCAGAAGGCCGCCCCCTCGCGCCACCGCCTTGTGCGCGTCGCCAATGCTCGGCTTGGGTCACCCCCTCTCGGGTCCAGTCGACGCACAACATCGCGACGGCCAGCTTTTCGTAGCCTTCGGCTATCGGAGGCTGTGTCCTGGCCCTGGGACCGTCAACCAACGAGCCAGTATGATATTACCCAGCCAGGACCCCAAACAATAAGTTATTGCACTGTGGATATGTAAGCTATGTGGTGCTATGCGGTGGAAACTATGTGGTGTGAGCTACGCGGTGACGCGGCAACAAAGCGGCAACATGGCGAAACCTCGCCACATCCTCCCAAAGCACGAGGCGTCAATGAGGCGGCAACATGGCGAACCCTCGCCGGATCCACCCAGCGCAAGAGGCGGGCACGAAACGGCCACGGATGACAACGTGGGAAGTCCCCGCCGGACCCAGCCAATTTCTTGGGGAGAAAAAATAGTTAAGAACCCAATCGTGGAAACACTGTTTGAGGAAAAACCGGCCCCCGCGAAGCTATGTGGTATACGATATGTTGTATGATCTTTGTCGCGTGAGCTATATGACGCAAGCTCTGTCATGTAAGCTGGGTGGTGTGAAATATGTGGAGGAACTCACTTGCCGAACTTGAAATTGTCAACTCCACTGCTCGCGCAATCATCCCATCCACCCACCCGCAACTTGATTTGCAAAACCCATGCGGAAGCGATTGCGATGAGTGCTTGGTGTTGGCTGGTGCATCTCTGCGGCCCCGCATGGTCTCTTTTACAAGGGGTTGTGGCCCTGGCAGGCGCACGACCGATGTTGAAGGCGTTCGACGCGCTCGCAGAAGTTGCCCGCATGACAGAAATGTTGAAGCACCATTGGTTCTTGTAGGATTTGGAAAGCGCGCGGGTAGATCTTTTGTTTATTTTGCTGGTATTTGTCGAGGATGTATGGTGCGATTCGTGTGATGTCATGAAGCTCGGTCTTGAAATAGTTGAAACCACAATGTGATTGGAAGGATTTCGACCTGCGTGCGCGGCGGCCGCGCGCATGTGCCCCGCATGGCATTTTTTACAAGGGATTGTGGCCCTGGCAGGCGCGCGACCGTTGTTGAATGAGATCGACGTGCACGCAAAAGTTGCCCAAGGAGCCCGACTTGACAGGAATGTTGAAACAAACATTGGTTTTTGAAGGATTCGGCAAGAGCGCGCGGGCAAATGTTTCAGATTGTTTGGGTGAGTAAGTCGTGCATTTTGTCATAGGTTTGCTTGAAGCGGGATGTTGAAATTGTTGAGCACACACTGTGTGTTCGGAAAGATTTCAACATGTGCGCGCAACAGCCGCGCCCGTGTGTTCGGCATGGTATTGTTTACAAGGGAACCGTGACCACATGTTATGTTAGAACAGACAATGCCACTGTCTAGTATTTTGTGCAAGGTAACCGAGGGGGGGGGGCGATACCGGCCTGGCTGGGATAGTATGAACTCACAGGTTGGATGGACATTTGGTCAGAATCATATGTGCTTTGCATAGGTTTCTGGGGAATGGATAAGTCCGGGTGGGGAGGGTTACTTTTTAGAAAAGAGAACTAAGCCTTGCCATCTAGGTGGTGCAAGCTCTGTTCTGTAAGCTATGCAGTGCAAGCTATGTTGTGTTAAATCTGTGGTGTGAGCTGTTTGGTGTGAGCTATTTTGTTTAACGCATGGTAGCCATCTGCGTGGTGTGGTCTGTGTAGTGCAACCTGCGTGGTGTGAACCATGCGGTGAAAACTATGTGATGTGGCGACGGACTGAACAGGGGCCGCCAGGCCCGCAGACGGGCCTTTCATGGGGACGCATGCGGCAGCGACGGACAACGGGGCTGGTGGGCCCACAGTCGGGCCCAGCTCCTAAGAAGGGAAAGGAGAAATCCCAAGGGCAAGCCCTGCTCGAGGAACACAACAACAACGTCGGAGGAGAGGGAGGCCTGCCCCGGGCACCCCAGGGTCCCAGGCAGTGCCAAGGGGGCATCACCACCATTCTTTTGCCAAGGGGGGTCACCACTGGGGGGGTCGCCACCTCCTCGAGAAAACAAACAAGCCTGACCACAAAGACCCTCCCCAGGACCCCCAGACACGTCGCAAAACGTCCAACACCCAACCGGTCCTCGAACCACAAAGCCCTAAACCCTAAACTCTAAACCTTCGATTTCCAGGAGCCCGCAGACATCCGATGATGTTTTTCGTTTTTTCCAACGCGCGGCCCCGAAGGCCTCGACCCCTTTCCCTGGGGGTAGTTTGTGCGCGTCCCCTGGAGGTCCCGGATTAATGTTCGATAGCCTTGGGGCCAGAAAGCGGGCCCCAGAAGCCGACATCGAGGAACAACAACACGGCATTGAGCAACTCATATCGTCGATCTGGGCCTGTGAACCCCCTGTTGTGACCCGCGTCTGCGCTGCCCGAGGGTCATCCGGCGGGGGGGGCAGGAATGGAGGATGGTACCTTACCCCTCCCTCCCTCCCACCCTCCCCTTCCCCTCCTTCTCACCCTTGTCTCTTTCTCGCTGTGTAAGGGTGAAGATCGTTCTGTCACTCAAGAGCTACGAACGACCGCAGACGGTCGGCTGCGCTCAAGGCACTTCACTTGACTGCCTAGCTGGTACTGTCTGCCTGCCTCGCTTTAACCTTGGTGCCCCAGCAGAGCTGTTGTCTCACGAATGTTCTGCGAATTGCGTGCCGGCCTCGGCTGACAGGCTCACTGCTTGATCAGCGCTCCCCCCCGCTCCCCTCGGAAGGCCAGTTGAAACATCGGAGGCCTTCCCGAACGAGGACCGAGGAGGGAGGGGGGGAGGCAGGAGGAGGAAGAGGAGGGCTCGAGGGCTCGAGGACGGACGGCGCGGGTGCCGAGAGACCCGACCGCGCGGCCCAGCGACGCGCACCTCAGCGCGCGTCGGCCGCCAAGCCAGCGGGCGCACGCAAGCGGCCGCCTCGCCGACGAGCCCTGCCCACATGGGGCGAGGCAGGTTCACCCGTCGACGGGCCCCCCCTGCCCGCCTCCGCAGGCCCTCGTCGGCGGCATGGCACGGCGACCCCGCCAGCTCACGCCCTGGGTCGAGCAGCGGCCGGACGCCGAAGTCGCGTCACATCTGCTTGCGCGCCTCCGTGTCGGCGGCCCTGGGATCGGGCGCTGGCGGGGCAGCAGCAGCCATCGCGGCCGTGGCAACGGCGAAGTCCTGGAACAGGGCGCCCACGACCACGTCTGCCACGTCGCCACGACTGGCCTCGACGCGGGCTCCGAGGGGCGCCTCGCGCTCGAGCCAGGGGCGGACCAGCCTGTCCTGCTCGTCCTGGCCGCGACCCCACCGCGCACGCGAGCCGTGGGGCTTGGTGCGGGCGGCGTCCTGCGTCAGCCCGTCATTGCCGCCGTCGCCGACGTCGGCGGACGCAGCTTCGGAGAAGCACAACTCCACGGGGCCGAAGTGGACTCGTCGCGCCGCGCCTTGGGCTCCCCCTCGGTCGTCTCCTGGTCTGTGGGCGCGACGATCCGTCGCGGCCAGTGCGGCGTCGACCCGCTCGGCCTCCTTCTCCACCTTCTTGAGCTGCTCCTCCAGGGCGCGGGCCAGCGCCGCCGCGTCGACGTCAGGGCCCAGGGCGTGCCCCCCTGGCACCCTTGTCAGGTCGGCCCAGGGAGCGCTCCCGCGAGGACCCTGCGGCTACAAGATCCAGCCGGGCTACCTCCCCCCTGGCACCGCCTTCGTGCCTAATCGGCCCAGGGAGTGCTCCCGCGAGGACCCTGCGGTGGCAGAGTCCAGCCAAGCTACCTCCCCCCCCCGGAGCCGCCTTCTCGGGGAGGCCAGGAGTGCTCTCGCGAGGGCTCTGTCGGAAGGCCCAGCCGAGCTACCTCACCTGCCTCCCCTGCTGCCGTAATGTCACCCCCGCCGGCGTCGTCGTCGAGGAGCCCGTCGTGGGAGTGGGAGCGGCCGTCGCACGCGCCGAGGGCGCAATCGCCGTCGACGCCGGGCTGGCCGCCATGCTCCTCCGGCTCCCGCGCCGTCCAGGGGGCACAGGGCTCGTGGGCGTGCTGCGCCTCGCTCGCGCCCTCGTGCGGCATGGCCTCACCGACAACCTCCGCCGCGGCGTGCGCTGCCGATGCCGTGAGGTTGACCATCGCCTGCCTCGTCTCGCCGTCCTAGGTCCTCTCGGCCTCTGCAGAGGGCGCAGCCGCCTCGCTGGGCCGCCGCGCGGGGCGCGCTCGCCTTGCGAGGGCTGCTGCCGAGGTCTTGACCGCGGCAGTCGAATAGTTGAGGCAGCGGATGTCCTCCACTGTCGGCAGCTCGGCCGCGGGCCCGAACACCCGCGACTCCGTGTCCGCCATGTCCAGGGCGGGCGCAGCAGGCGCTGCAAGCGGCGCTGGCTTCTCAACCTGGCCTCCGCACGGCGCCGCAGAGCGGCGCGCACCGCCACGGCTGCTGCCGCCTGCAGGCGGGCGCGCGGTACGATCTCCAGGGCGTCGCAGCGCATCCGCGTGCAGACGTCGTCCGGAACGGATAGGAGGTCGCAGTTCACTCCCGCCTGCTCCACCTGCTGGGTGACCACGATCGACGGAGCCTCGGGGGACACGTGCGCGGGCTGCTCAGCCGCCGCCTCCTGCGCGTCCGCGCCAGGGGCCCGCAACGCCCCGAGCAACGCGTCGACGTCCGCCGCGGTCCAGTAGTCCAGTGTGGGAGGGCAGAAGACCTCCGCCTCCGCCCGCAGCTCGCGCGGCGGCCTGGGCCGCTCCCTTAGCAGCTCGCTGACGGCCGCCGTGGGAGCGCGCCGCGCCGCTGGCCACTGCCTGCGGGGCGTGGCTCGGGAGGCAGGCAGGTGGCGGAGGGCCTCCTCGCAGACGTCGCGCCGCCGCCGCCCTGCCATCCTTCGCGCCGGTCGTCGAACCAGAATATCTCGCTCGGGTAGAGCTGCGGGCTGCCACGAACTCGGGCAGCCCCCCCTGTGCTCAGGTAGAGCTGCGGGCTGCCACGAACTCGGGCAGCCCCCCCTGTGCCAGGTGTGCGTATCTTCGCTTCGATCCGAAGCAGCAACGTGCCCGCCAGAGGAGAAGCATCGCCAGTGGCCGCGCGACCCCAAGACCGCCTCGCGGAGGCTCGGAGCGGCCCGAAGGTGCCTCGGGGGGGCACGTTCGAGCCCAAACGGTTCTTGAGGAGGAGGAGGAGGAGGAGGAGGAGGAGGAGGAGGAGGAGGAGGAGGAGGAGGAGGAGGACGAGAACGAGGATGATGAGGAGGAGGAGCGCAGCGTAGGATGATGATGATGATGATGATGAGGAGGAGGAGGAGGAGGTAAGAGGAGGGAGGAGGGGAGAGAGGGAGAAGGACCATCAATGTCTCAAGTGGCCCTGCCCCTCACCCGTCCCCCAAAATTCGGCCTCCACTTCCAGAGCGCGGTCTGACAAGGATTTCGAAGCGAATCCAACCATGGCAACGATGGCCTCCCCAAGATGCTGCTCCTCTTGCGTCCTCTTCCTCCTCCTCCTCCTCTTCCTCCTTCTCCATCCCGTCGCCGCCCCCGAAGAGATGATGTACTTCATTATTTCCATACCGGGTTCCCGAAGTCCCGACCCTTCCCCTGAGGCCAACTTTTCATGCTGAATCGTGCGTTGACGGTTCCGGGGCCCGGTGGGGCTCCCAGAAACTGGCGAAACACTCCAGTGCTGATCCTTTCGAACAGTATTGCGGAGGGCTGTGCGGCTGCATCCGCCGCCGCCCGGCGGCAGACAGACAAACAGACAGGCCCGCATTCCAGCCCGAAGGGCCAATCCTCTACGAGGGCAGCCGCATGGGACACAGTCCCCGACTAACAGTTTGCGTATTGCTTCTACCAACGGCCTCAACATTATCCGTAGCACACATGTGAAATGATTGTCTGCGTCGCGTGTCATCGGCCACACGTCGCTGCCGTACAATAGCGTGAACGCCACCGTCGTGTTGAGCAGTCGAATGCGATCCTTCAGGGGAGACTGTCGGCTTGTCAACTCCTGCTCTTGTATTCCGTGCTGTGCTTACGCTCTCCGGACCCGATGGTCGAGCTCGCACCCCAAACGGCTTCTCGCAAGATGCAAGACGTCCAACACATGTGATAGCTGCCTGTCGGGGC